TACGACTTTCTGCGCGAGAGCGCCCTCCGGCTTTGAGTATGAATGAAACATACACTGCACGGAGTGTTAGCGGTCTGCGATGTTCATCTCGCCTTATTCTGGGTCCGAATAAAACATCAGATCATGCACAGACTATCCTGTCTCTTTTAATTTAAATCTATATTTATTCACACCGGCTCTTGAAAACCTCTATGCGAACACACTTGCCCGAAAAAGTGCGGGGGACGAATTTACGTGATATTAAAAGTGTGGGGGGGGGACACGTACCCCGCGCAATCTACGCCCCTGGCTCACTGGATGTCATGACAACAAATGTCATGAAGGAAAAGTTTCAATATCACGCCTTCGCTTTCATTTCGGACCATCTCCAAAAAGACATTTAAAAACTAAGCATATGATTTACAAGTTTAACATGCGTTTATCAAAGTAGGAAATAATTAATGTTCTTGAAATACGAAATGGAGGCGGGTCCAGACTGAATTCCCTCCGGGTCTGGATCCGGACCGGAGTCCGGACTTTGAGAAGCACTGCCCTAATGAGTCCTTAGATAGATTCCCTCCAAAGAACAGTACATCTAAAGTTTTTGAGTTGCTTTGTGATAATTTACAGGTTACTGATGTTTGGCGGGGGGGTTTTTTTACATCCAAATGATAAGGAATATACGTGAACAAATAATGCTCTTACACGTAAGTCACGAATTGACTTTTGGCTCTTATGCAGTTCAGTTTGTCTCAGACACTTCGATAGGTTATTCACCTTTATCTGATCATAGATTTATCTCGATCTCTTTAATTGGAAATACAGAATACAGATAGTTGTAAAATAATTCGCGGTTACTGGAAATTTAATAATATCTTACTTTCGGATGCACATTTTGTAGAATCTGTTCATTAAAAAACTGCTTCTATTTTGGAAGATGAATCTATGAGTTATATCCAAAGATGGGAATTTTTTTAATTCAAAGTTAGACAAATAGCTATGCGTCGAGACAAAGAACTTAAAGTGGCAAATTCTAAAAGATGTCAAGATATTCTCAATGAGCTTGGAAAGTTGTTATCTAAAGAAACTCTTAATACAGAGGACGAATCCTATTCATCAAATTTGAGAAACGAAATAGATGATCGCTATTTAGATTTAGCTAAGGGCGCATTTATAAGATCTAGAGCTAAATGGTTGGAAATGGGAGAGAAAAATACCAGTTATTTTTTTGCTCTGGAAAAGAGAAATATAAAAAGAAATTGTCTAGCAGCGTTAAAAATTGATAATAACATAGACAAAAAACCCTGTCAAATTAATAAATATGTATACTCTTTTTTTTAACAAATTACATTGCTCAAATTAAAATGAAAATTATGCCAGATCCTTTCTACAAAAAAATCACACCTTTCACTCCAGTAATTTCAAGTGAGTTTAAAGTGGTTTGTGAAAATGACCTTTCTTTAGACAAACTTACCAAAGCAATGCAATCTATGAAGAAAGGTAAATCCCCGGGCACAGATGCCCTAACTATTGAGTTTTATGCATACTTTGGGAATCTATTAGGAGACCATTACTTAGACTGTACAATGAATGTATTATTAATGAGGAATTATGTACTTCTATGAAACAAGGCCTTATTACCTTGATACCAAAACCAGGCAAAGACCTTCTCTCCCTTGACAACTGGAGGCCAGTTTACTAAATTTAGATTATAAAATTCTATCATTAGTTCTTGCAAAAAGATTAAAAACAGGCTTATCTGATATAATTAATGAAACTCAAACTGGTTTTATGCCTAAACGACAGATAAATTGTAATAGCAGGCTAATTTTGGATCTCATAGATTATGCTAATTATATTAAATCTGATGCAATCATTCTGTTTCTAGATTTTTACAAAGCGTTCGATACCATCGAACATAAATTTCTATTTTCTACTCTAGAGTTGTTTGGTTTTGGAGAGAAATTTATAAAAATGGTTACAATGATATATAAGGATATTAATAGTTCAGTTCTCTTACAATTTGATACTTCTAATAGATTTCCTATCAACAGGGGTGTTAGGCAAGGTTGTGGAATCTCCCCCTTTCTGTTCTTATTAGTTGTGGAATTACTCTCTTTAAATATTCGAAATAATCCTGATATCAAGGGGTTGACCATTTTTGATCGCGAGATTAGAATTTCACAACTTGCAGACGATACAACCCTGTTTTTAGAAAATACAAATCAGGTTGCAAAAGTACTTGAAATCATTAACTCCTTTTCGGAGGCTTCTGGTTTAAAATTAAATATTCCTAAATGTGAATTTTTTTGTTTATTTGATAACCTTGAAACCTCTGTGAATAATATACCTATTAAAGATAATGTGAAATATCTCGGCATCCATATTTCCAAGAAAATCTCTCTTAGGCAAGAAATGAATTTTACTCCTAAAATTAAAAAAGCAAAACTAATATTTAACAATTGGCTTCAAAGAGATCTATCATTTCTTGGTAGAGTTCTTTTAATAAAAGCAGAAGGTCTGTCTCATTTTATATACCCATCTTTTTCATTATTTGTTCATGACAATACATGTAAACAAATTAATAGTTTATTGTTTAACTTTTTTTGGAAAAACAAACATCATCATTTGAAGAAACAAGTTCTTTGTGGTAAGAAAGCTGATGGAGGTTTTGACATGCTTGATTTTTTTGACATTAATTATACTTTCAAAGTAAATTGGCTTAAGAATTGTGTCAATTCACCAGATTCTTTTTGGTACTTTATCCCATACAATATCTATAAAAATGTGGGAGGTCTTACATTTTTGTTAACTTGTAACTTTTCCCCTTCTAAACTCCCCATTAAACTTTCTAAATTCCATGAACAGGCACTTTTGGCATGGAAACTTTGTTTTGTTCACATATATTAACTCTGATGCAATCATTCTGTTTCTAGATTTTTACAAAGCGTTCGATACCATCGAACATAAATTTCTATCTTCTACTCTAGAGTTGTTTGGTTTTGGAGAGAAATTTATAAAAATGGTTACAATGATATATAAGGATATTAATAGTTCAGTTCTCTTAAAATTTGATACCTCTAATAGATTTCCTATCAACAGGGGAGTTAGGCAAGGTTGTGGAATCTCCCCCTTTCTGTTCTTATTAGTTGTGGAATTACTCTCTTTAAATATTCGACATAATCCTGATATCAAAGCGTTGACCATTTTTGATTGTGAGATTAGAATTTCACTTGCGGATGATACAACCCTGTTTTTAGAAAATACAAATCAGTTTGCAAAAGGCTCGGAGGCTTCTGGTTTAAAATTAAATATTCCTAAATGTGAAATGTTTTGTTTATTTGATAACCTTGAAACCTTTGTGAATAATATACCTATTAAAGATAATGTGAAATATCTCGGCATCCATATTTCTAAGAAAATCTCTCTTAGGCAAGAAATGAATTTTATTCCTAAAATTTAAAAAGCAAAACTAATATTTAACAATTGGCTTCAAAGAGATATATCCTTCCTTGGTAGAGTTCTTTTAATAAAAGCAGAAGGTCTGTCTCATTATATATACCCATCTTTTTCATTATTTGTTCATGACAATACATGTAAACAAATTAATAGTTTATAGTTTAACTTTTTTTGGAAAACCAAACATCAACATTTGAAGAAACAAGTTCTCTGTGGTAAGAAAGCTGATGGAGGTTTTGACATGCTTGATTTTTTTTACATTAATTATACTTTCAAAGTAAATTGGGTTAAGAATTGTGTCAATTCACCAGATTCTATTTGGTACTTTATCCCATACAATATCTATAAAAACGTGGGAGGTCTTAAATTTTTTGTTAACTTGTAACTTTTCTCCTTCTAAACTCCCCATTAAACTTTCTAAATTTCATGAACAGGCACTTTTGGCATGGAAACTTTGTTTTGTTCACAATTTCTCCCCACATACAGTGAAGCTATGGAACAACGAGAGTATTTTAGTAAAGAACAAGTCGATTTTTTTCTTAAGAATTGGCATGAAAAAGGTATTAATTATATTTGTGATATACTAGATCCTCAAGGGAATGTTTACTCTTACTGTGATTTCATGTTTAAATATAATTTCCCTGTGGTTCATAAGGAATTTCTTACAATTGTTAAAGCTATACCTAATGGTCTTGTTCACTTAATGAAATGTCATCTATCATTTGAAGTGATTGTAAAAAGGGAGCCGAATTTTTTGGTTGATGACAAGTGCATTTATGACCCAAAATGAAATAATAAAATTATAAGAAATGTGTTTCAGTCAAGGAAACTAATTACTCCGAGGGGAATTTTTTTGGGGGGAATTTTTTAATAGATAATTGGAAAAAAGCATGGCTCTTACCTTATAAATTCTGTGTCCCCAACAAAGTAAAAGAATTACATTTAAAGATTTTGCATAATATATACCCCACTAATGAGATTACATCCAAATTTGGTAATCCTCATCTGAATTGTAATTTCTGTAATTTCAGAATTGAGTCTATTGATCATCTTTTTTTCAAATGCCCCCATGTTAAGGAATTTTGGTCCGAAACCCAATGTAGACATTAATTTAACTATGTGTGATATATTTTGTTATTTTTCCTCATTGTAAACATAACATAGAATATATAGGAAATGTATTTATTTTATTGGGAACATATTATATTCATAAATGTAAATTTTCCTCAACATTCCCAAAATTACATAATTTTCTTTGTGACTTTAACTACCTAATTATAACACACAAAAAAATATGAAAACCAAAAAAAGTGTCAAATTTGTGAAACTGTAAAATGATCTGCTGAATGTTACATAATTTTGATTTACTACCTCTGTATTTTTTTTTTTTTATCTATTTATTCTTATTTATTTTTTTTATTATTTTTTCTTTGTCTTCCTATATTATTTCTGTATTCATAATGTCATCCAATGTTGTATTAATTGTTGAAGTTAAGTGTTTATACTTGCAATAAAAAAAAAAACCAAAAAAAAAAACGAAGCCCCGCCTTCTGAACAAAAGAGCCAATAGCTAATCGGTAAATTCAGCGTGTCACTGCAGCTGCCGTTAGAACCGTCCCGGTTGCTATAGAAACAGTCAACGGCTCTGACACGTGCAGTTAGGACTGATTTCAAAATATGAAATGTAATCATAAGCTTAGTGAACAGTTTTGGAGAATTTGATGTTTCCCCATTCAAAGAGATAGGAGCTGCACTTGCATGCCCGAGAGGCGTTTCAAAGATGGACGCGGAGTGACATGACTTGCCTTAAAGGGACTTTGGTTGTATAACTTACCTTCAGAAAGGGCGACAGCACACCGCATTAAAAAGAAATGATCATTCATGTTTTCATAACCGCTGGACAAATTAAAAAACAAAACAAAAATTAAATCATCTTTGAGAGCAAGGGGACCCCTGGTGTTTCAGGGGCCCTATGCAGCTTGCGTATAGGGAGGATCGGCTCTGGGCGGACCTGCCAATTCTGGTATTCTCTGGCAAATCCCTTTTGAGGGTTGCCTCTCCAGTGCACCTGTTGTCACTTTCAATTGCACCAAAGCAGTTAAAACACGTTCACCATCACTTATGCTTCCTAACTGGACAGAAATATCCTTTGTTTAACTGTTTAACTGACTTGGTTTTATACTGTGATGATTCTTTGTTCCCTAATATGAGCAGTGTATAGGGTACAGAAATGTCACAGAGAGAGACATGCAAAGCATGGCTAGTCTTGCCCAGCACATCATCAATCATCAGTTTGTAGTTACTTTTTGCACATTTCACAAAGTTCCAGTGGTAATCAGTAATTCACACCACTGATTTGCTACTTTACTTGTTCCCCTCTCTCATTTCCTCCAAATCAGCAATGCCGTGTTTGTGTAAAACAAATAACACCCACATAACCTTATTTCAAGACACAGGAACACTTCTACAGTGATTTTGCCATTACATATATTTAGGTTGTTTTAGAAATGTATATTAAATAAATAAATAAAATAAGCATATAAAATAAGAGTACTGGGTGTCTTTGTATCTTTGGTAATAAAAAACAAATCTGAAACACTAGATTCTTACACACACTGGAGTTATCTGGTAAATAGTCTTGCAATTTATTATGAGAGAATGGACAAAGGAGCATGACATCTAGTGGTATGAACTTGAATAGCATTTATTATCAACCAAGAGCTGTTACAGTATGTTTTGGTGGCACAATAATTCTGGTACTGGACAAACAATACACATTCATACCTTAGAGAATCCACATACACATACATATTAATTTGTTATATGTAATGTTGACTGTACCACCACACTTAATACTGTATATTAGTCACACTCATTCCTGTGGCAGCAGTGCACTTAATATTTGCACATGATATGGCTTAAAGAGCTATTCACTTTTAAATGTTAATCTTGCAGAGCTCTATGACTGAGCGAAAGGCCTCTATTTGTTTTCGACTGATTACATGAATTGTCACCATTAGTGTTTAATGCATTTTAAGATCACAGTTTGATAGCAACATGGTTAAACAGGGTAAAATAAAATGATACATATTTATAATGCAAGCTTGTGCATAGCGAAACAGATTTATGTCCACATGCTTCACACAATTCCCAAAACATGTGTCGATACTTAAATTGTGTAGAAAAGTCTTGTAACCAAAAGCTACTGATGTATGAAACTGCTACAGCCGTAGGTGGGTTCTTCTTTTATTAAAATATTTAACTGTATATATTGGTAATGTACATAAAAAAAGATTTGCTTAAAAAGCACAAAGAAAATCCACATTCCTTAGTAATTATTTAAAGTGAATATACAACAGATTGCAGACACAAAATGTTTCTTAAATTTAAAAGAAGCCTTTGCTCTTTTTCAGTTTCAGCTGTTTCCAGTTTGGGAGGGCGTTAAATTCATCCCGCGTCATCTCCAAAACACTCTGCAAAACAAATACAATCTGTATTAACATAGATCTGTGCTAACATCAGTTTGCAGAAAATTATAGGTTAATATGACTTTCAGACAAAAAAAGCCACACTGGAAAACTATTAAACCAATGTGAACATTTGCTGATCTTTGACACTTTCCTTGATAACCATTTAAGACTAAACTATTGACCCTTAGGGTAGGTTTTGAAACAGTTTTGCTTAGTAAAGGGCATGTGTGAACATCTTTAGGTGGAGTTGTTACCTGGAAGTCTTTATCTGACAGGTAGCTCTCGAGGTGCAGAGGGTCCACTCCCTCTGGCAGAGGTTTGGAGGTGAGCTCCTCAATTGTGTACTGCTGCCTGCTGAGTTTAGACAGAGCATCTTTAACCAGGATCACTTTATTACGGGCTCCTTCAACCTGCACAAACATTCAAACATACAGTTTTATCATACATAGGCTTCAATATTAAAGCTGTATTGAAATCGACCACCAACTATTCAGATATTAGTCATATATGAGAGTGCTTATACGAAAATGCAGAAGTTCAATCTGTAGTTTTAACAAAAGCCCTGGAGTTTTATTTGTCTGCGAAAGTCCACTGGATGATGCAAAAATCACATGTTGCATCATCTGACGGACTTTCTTGACAAATAAATGGATATATCTGGGTGCAGGTAGCATGGAGAAGTACACATTGTTCATTTACATAAATTATTGAAACTGTAACAATATAAAGCTGGTTGAAAATGTACAAACATATCCTTTAATAACCACTTTTGAAGTTAGTAATAATTTAATGTCAGGATACAAGTTTCACTTTTACTAAATCTGGTATGTTTTAGAGCCTTGCAAAGGAAAGTCACAGAGTAAATCGAGACACAGGCTGCTTTACAAAGAAAAACTACTTTGTGCCTAGATTTCTGAAGCTGACTTTTAAATATATAGGTACAATTTTATGTAGAATTTTATGTTTTGGCAAGAATTTTTTTGACAGTACCCATATTCTAACATTTATTATTATTATTATTTTAACACATTATTCCTCTGTTCTCTTTACGACTATGATATTATGAAAGCTATGGGTGAGGTACTGTACCTGCACTTTACTATTTGGGTCTTTCTCCCAATAAGGGAAGATGTTGGTAAAAGTGAGTGGTTCTGCACCAGCCAGGATCAGGTAGGCCTGAGGAGGCCGTCTGGAGTTCTTCTCTGAAGAACAAACACAAGAAAGTCAATATTACACAGCAAAGCAATTAAATATGCACAAAGAGGTAGGTTTACACTCTTTCATCAGATTATGCTTAAAGGTAAAAAAAAAATCCATATCCATATACAAAGCAAGTCAATTTTCTTTTTCAGGTGAACTATTCTATTAAGCTGACAATGTGTAAAGTAATTAAGTAAAGGTCAGACCCTATCTATCTATCTATCTATCTATCTAATTTTTAAATAAAACAAAAATGAATAAAAAATCTAAATAATTATCTAAAATAATTAATAACTTTTTTAATTAATTAAATCAATTTGGCTGAGAAATTACCCACAAAAGATCATTTAAAGCCACTACTGTGAGAAATGAGAAATAGATATTACAAAGTATCTTTAGAAAGATTCTTTTCTCATTTTCTTTTTTCATTTTTAATTTTTGGTCGAACTATCCCTTTAATCAGTTTTTTACTAATATGGATTTTTTTAAAATTAATATGTAAATATGAAATACTTTTTTTATGAAATGATACTCTAAATAATAAACTAAAACTGCCAGTAGGTGGAGGTAAATGTCTTAAGTCATTGAGTTATTAATTAATTCAAACGTCTGATTCACTCAGTAATGAAGCAAATGGCTCTCTTTATGAATGGGCCATTGAATCATTGGTTGACCAGATTCCTTCAAAATACGGATTCATACAGAAATTGTGTGTTGATTGGAGACCAACAACAGTTCTGCTGTGGCATTAATAGATAATATTTGCATCTGCAAAACTGAACAAAAATAGACAATATTGTGTTTAAAATATAACACACTATTAACTTCTTATTTACTGAACACATTTACACTCGTGCTATTCGGGACAAAAACAGCACTCGTGTGATATCGCTTATCATATGATATAAATATGAGACAAAAACTCAAACAGCGGCATTTCTATTTTGGCCCAATATCTGGAATTTTAGGGGCACATAACGTCTCGGTTACATATGGTAACCCTCGTTCCCTGAAGGAGGGAACGGAGACGTCACATCGGATGACCGACGAATTGGGATCTCGCTTAGAGAGACCAATCCACTTAGAACTTTGAGTGTAAACTAAACGAGCCAATGCACATTGGCATGCGATTATTGCATCCAGCTGCCGCTGATCACAGCGTGAGTATAAGTAGGCAGCAGATGCAGCGCATATTCAGGTTTTCGCTGAGGAGCCGAGCCGGTGACCCGGCCGCTCAGCGGTGGTACAGGAGCTGTGGCGACGGGACGTGACATCTCCTTTCCCTCCTTCAGGGAACGAGGGTTACCATACATAACAGAGACATTCCCTTTCAGTCGGTCACTCTTGACGTCACGTTGGATGACCGACGAATTCGGATCCCTACCAAAAGGCCACAGATACCGCCCCTTTCAGTGTCCTGCGGGAGCCTCCTGCGTCCCTCGGTCAGGGAGTAGAACAACTGGCAGTGAAAGGTTTCTGGAGAAGCAAACAGGTCTACCTGAGTGGCTCCGAAATGCCTCCAAATCAACTGGACTGTCTGGGGATGGAGTCGCCATTCTCCCGGAAACGCAGCTCGAGACAGCTCGTCGGCTGCTTGGTTGAGCAGCCCAGGAATGTGAACAGCACGAAGTGACCTCAGATACACCGACTGAGCACGTTCCTGCGTGAGGCGTGCTGTCTGCTCGACCGAGTCCAACTCCATACCGAGAAAAGAGATCCTCTGCGTCGGGGAGAGTTTGCTCTTTTCCCAGTTGACCCGAAGGCCCAACAGGCTGAGGTGTGAGAGCACCAAGTCCCTGTGTTCGCACAACTGATCCTGAGACTGAGCAAGTATGAGCCAGTCGTCGAGGTAGTTGAGGATGCGAATGCCCTGTTCTCTCAGGGGAACAAGGGCCGCCTCCACAACTTTCATGAAGACACGGGGTGACAGGGACAGCCCGAAGGGTAGGACCTTGTACTGATATGCCTGTCCTTCGAACGCAAACTGCAGGAATGGCCTGTGGCGCGGAAGAATCGACACATGGAACGGAAGGATCGAAACATGGAAGTACGCGTCCTTCAGGTCGATCGCTGCGAACCAGTCTTGGGGACGGATACACCTGAAGATGCATTTCTGCGTGAGCATCTTGAACGGGAGCCTGTGAAGGGCCCGGTTCAGGACGCGCAGATCCAAGATCGGCCTCAACCCACCGCCTTTCTTGGGTACAATGAAGTAAGGGCTGTAAAACCCCGTCCTCATACCGGCTTGAGGGACCGGCTCTATCGCATCCTTCGCCAGCAGGACTGCGATTTCTGCCCGCAAGACAGGGGCATCTGCTGCTTTCACTGAAGTAGAGTGGACGCCCCTGAACTTGGGAGGGCGCCGGGCGAACTTGAATCGCATAGCCGAGCCTGACGTTCGAAGAAGCCATCGAGACAGGTTGGGTAGCTCTAGCCAGGTTCCCAGACGCAATGTCGGCCAGACACAGCCAGAGATGGCGCTCCTGGACCACCATCGCACGACCCAGTCCAGTGGACATCGCACGACCCAGAGACCGCGCCGTAACCTTCTTCGCTCATAGCGCGAGGTCCGTTGCGGTGCGGAGTTCTCTGCGAACTTCCGGGTCGTGACCACCCTCGTGCAAGTCCCTCA